GGGGAGGCCTTAATTATAATATTGATATTAGAAAAGACGCACACATGCACAGACTGTTCGACGTCTTTGCTGATGTATAGTACCTGAGAATCATCGGTTCGACCATCAGCTTTCGCTCCAAAATCGTCCACATTCACCGTTTGCATTGATGCTTCCCTTGCAGAACTAATCCTACCCTTGGTTAGCTTACGATTATTTACAGTTGAAGTTTTAGGCCGCCGGAGAATTTCCACATTCTTCAGATTCTGAAGCTTTTGATATTCATTTGCAAAACAGGAGGGTGAAGATACTAAAATGGTAAAAATTATCACAAAGAAAACCTTCTTCATCTTCAGTATTTTGACTGAAACAGTTGAAAATCCAAGACAAGTTTCTATTTGATCATCAGCATCAACAAATGAGATATATAAATAGATACAGAAAAGTTGCATGGAAGCCGACTTTTCCCCTTCCGGTATTTTTCAACTACAGGAAAATCAACTTGTTAGTTACTTCCCTTTTGCTTGTTTACCAGCCACACTTTGTGAAAATCGCACCTACAAGGGAGTTGGCTAAATACCAATTGCTAGAAATATTCTTATTATTGTTTCGACTCATATTTTCTGATAAAAATTGGCTCGACTCCCCGTTATAATATACTTGGTTCAGCTTGTAGATTTTTGTGTTTTGTTATTGGCCAGGATCGCAACAGTTTCTCTGAAATTTATTAGCCATAATATCTATTGATTGTGAAGGTTAATATTCTAAACTGAAGTTTTTAATTAATCAGGTTCAAATAATCGGAAAATTTCGTATTCCATATATTTATTAAAAGCTGCCAAACCAAAAGGTGAACTCTTAATATGATTATAGATGAATCTCAAAAGTTTAGACGTTACACGCATTAAACAAGTGTAAATTCATCAATAGTATTATAAATTTAAAACTCAGACATTTATTGATATAGATATTTGTAGAATGGGAAAAGCCATTTGTACCCGGTGGTTTACACGCCGGGTTACTCGTGCCCACCCGCCCCCTCACATGGGGTTCGGGTCCCATGGGTGGGTCCCGGTGTGGGGCCTCGCCCCATGTGAGGGACGAGGTGGGCCCGTGTAACCTGGTGTGTAAACCGCCGGGTACACATAGCAAGATCCTTGTAGAATTACTTAGTCCTACTTAGAGGTCAACGTCCACAAATCTTGTAATATGGTTTCGGTAAAGAGTGATTAATCTTTTTATGTCACAATTTGTTATTTGAGAAATTAATTTCTTGTAATTCTATTGCCAAATAATAAGCTGATACATCAAAAAATATGTTATTACATAGTATGACTACTGCAATTACTAACTATGAATAGTATTACTTTTAGTAAAAATATTATATTTTTCGATGTGTAAATTAAAGTACTATGTATCTAAAAATTTAAATTATTAAATATGTAACAATTTAATTTACTTATATATTTGTTTTCAATGCGCCCCTCGCATTCAAGTTACTAATTTTCATCATCGACACCACATGCATACGTTACATAATTGACGAGCAAAGATAAAAATATAAATTCAAAAATTTTATATCACCTGATGAAATGACTGTTGAATGATTGAATGTCATTGCTTTAATTATAAATGTGACAATGCAAATAAAAAAATAAATAAATAAATAAAACATTGCAACTAATTTTACTTGACTGCCGTATTTCTATCATTTGACCATGGAACATAATTTTTTTCCATACAGAATAAGTTGGGATTTGGCATAGTGAAAGTATAACCGAAAGTTGAATTGACAATTATTAGGTTGTTTTGGTTTGGATTTTGGTAAAAAATTGACCACAAAAAACAATTATTGAAGACTAATTTGACTGCTAGATTCCAAACCAAATTGAGCCGAACTAATGAGAAGTGGGTTTAGCCAGGAAAAAGATTGAGACTTTTAATTTAAACACTGACAAGATTTTTTGGACTTTGAAAAACTGAACCATTAAACTAACTTATAGCACAAAAGCACATCAGGGTGAAGTAGTACATTGTTGTGCCTTTGACTCTCAAACACGAGGATACACACAGCTAAAGTTCAGTGATTAGTTCAACTACTGATTCCTATTATCGGATCATACATTTTCTATATTTAGCGAAGATACAAGTAAACAAGCCAAGAATGAATTGCCTGACAGCAGCAAAACCACAGGGAAGTTACCCCAATTCAGTACTTCAGATGAGTTAAAAACCAGCCTTTGCCTGTGCCCGGACATCTTTGAACCCTATATAGAGCACGTGCAGCGATCTCCAAGGTGAAGCAATGCTGGAAAGACCCATCTGCCATTACAAAGGGGCAGCTTCTCATTTGCTGGGGTCAGCCCTCTGTGAAGACTGTTCCTCCAGGGAGCACCAGTTGTCCTGACCAAAATGTCCTCTTCCCTGTTCGCTCTGAGACAACTGTTTGTAATGGAATGACGACAGTCTATAGCCATTGCTGTTTCCATTTGAGAGAGACGGCTCTTTATGCATGTCTGGAACCATAGTGGAACCAGTTGAGTTACCAGATGGTGTGGAAGCAATTGTGCCAAATTTTGGCTGCTCCTCGGCAGTGGAATTTTTCTCCTGTTCGTTGAGCCTTTTTGTGTTGAGGAAACGGCCACCTGAGCCCCTTGCTCTTTTCATAGCATGCTGGTGCCGAGATTCATGAAGATAAGGCTGCAACCATTAGAAGAGAATAAAATATGACTTTCTAAGCTAATAATCAGAGTGATGTCCAGAAGAAAATGCCTAAGAAACCAATAGAAAATTTACAGCATGCTTAAGCCATATATAGGGAGACAGGTGCATCTGTAACCACATGAATATAAGACAAAAAGGAATGCGACATATTTAGACTAATGTATGGAAAACCACCATATAAGCAAAACTTTTAAGGAATGTCCAGATGAGAGTAACAAAGAAAAAAATCAAGAGCTTGATAGAAACTAGCCACAAGAATGCGAAAGATGATTCAGCTTTCTCAAAGTGGTACTCATGCCTTCAAAAGTGTCAAGTGTATTAATCACAAACACTAGAATTTCATTTTAACTAACAGCATGAACAAACCTTGTACAAGGAACAATGATGATTGGAATTATTGTCCAATATTTCTCAAAAACCAGGCCACAATGTTCCTCCAAAACTTGTGAACAGAGGAAGATTTCATGGAAATATGCACGCGTGTGAGGGGCAGAGAGAGAGAGAGAGGGAGAGAGTATAATTTCGCCTCCTTGAATGTGACCCTCAATACATTTTTTGGATCTATCAAAAGATCTTGCACTTGTACATTCAGCATTTCATGGATCTAATGTCTCCGAAATTATTTCTCAGGCAAAGTTGGAGATGATTAAGCTTTTAAAATCCAAAATTTCATGCTTGGTAAAATCAGCACGTCACCATATGCAACAAAAGGGAGAGAGAAAAATAAAATAATATATATAGTTCGCTGTTAACTTCCAAGACACCAAATGACTCATAAAACATCCTTCCATCTATTCCAGCAAAGTGAATGGCTAATTTCCAGATGACTTAAAACCTATTACATCGTCATCTTTGCCCATTTAGACATTGGCAAGCAGTCATTCCTCATAAGATCTGAACACACACAAGGAATAACAAAAGAATTCCTCATATATGATTACACGTCTGTGTGTCGAGGGTAAGTTGGAAAAAAGACTTCATTTGTACAAATAAATTGGAAATGTGGGCTTTTCATTCAGAGAGGAAGAGGCATTTTATTACCTTCCTGAATTTTACTGCTTTCTTTTCCAGTTCAGCTTTTGCTCTAATTTGTCTTCGTCTTAAGATACCATGATACTGTTTTGCATTCACAAAGACAGGTTCTTCTTCCATTTCTAGAGGCAGAGGCATTCTTCCTGGATGATACCCAAGTAAGTGTGGATGTCCCTGGCACCACCACAAAAGATTTCTATGAGAGAGTTCAAACAGAAGAGTTCCTTCTCTTTTTCCTGTTTTAATTTTCATAATTCAAACTTCTTTCTAATACTAGCACAACAATTTAGTACAATAAAAAACGATTAATTATAATAAAGTTGTGTCACGAGCAGCTCATGCATGGCGATCAAATGCTGCTTCAATTTATAGTCGAAAGAAATTTGGAAATTAGCACCAGAGGTCCCTCAAACCATGCAAGTGAGTACTTGTGTCTGCAACATACTTATATGGCATTGGGTCCCCAACCCTCCACGCCGATGTATCCAAATGCTATTAATGCAATAAAAATGAAGGTTAAGAATTGAAATGCCACAAAAAAAAAAATTAAAAAAAAAAAAAAATAAATAAATAAATAAATGGTTGCAAACCAAAGAGCTCACTTGTTTAAAGATTGGGGATTGCAATTTCCCACAAGAATTTAAATACTCTTATTATGTGTAGATTGTAAAAACGTCTAACAATATGAAAGCACTCTTCAGGGAAGGTGACCTCTTGCATCCACGAGAGGACATGGCGAACAAGAGTTCTGTGAAGTAGTTGGTTAGTCAATATTGACTTTCAAATATGTCTGCAAGCTCAAAGAACAACATCCCTTGGAGAAGACAAGGATAAGATGTGGCCTCAATTATTAAATGTAAAAGCATGTCAAACTTAGGAATTGTTGTATCAACTTTTTATGACCGCTACCAAAGAAAAAGAAAAAGGCATTTTAATACGCAAATTCAAACAAAGAAGAGAAAAATTATGACTCTATTGAAAAAGAAACAATAAATGATTACAATCAAATTCGGGCATGTGGTACTAAGGAGAAGAAAGTTGCTTCAATAAGATGTAGATGCATGCGTTCACACAACAGATACCCAAGAAATGCACACGGAAGCTGGGAATTGAAGTAAGCAGGTAAGACGAAGTTATGTTATTACCATTGCCCCATAAGACATTACTCCCCCATATTGTGGATCTGTATATGGATTTGATGTCAACATCTGCAAACAAAGTGCAAATAAGATCCCAACATATCTTAAGATTTTTAGATAAGTAAATAAATCAATATACCACCTTCAGTTTATTACCCACGCATCTCACAATAGAAAATGAAAAAAGGACAATTGTTGGTCATATAAAAAGAAGGATCTTCTTCAATATTGAATTTATTAAGTTAAAATGTTAGCACAGTACTAAAACAATGCATTCTGAAAGTACTCTCGTAGCAGACAACCATTTTTGGGATTGTTGGGGGCTATGATGCACCGACACAGGCACGTGTCTGACATGTGATATGTCAAAAAATAATAATAACAATAATAAATAAATAATTAATTAAAAATTTAAAAAAAAAAAATTTTGACACAACGTATCACAAACAATTTGATTAAATTCTTTAAAGTTCTTTAGTATAAATTTAGTTTTATAGTTGTTAATAATTTTTCTTGTTAAAATCTTTTAAATACGAATACCAATTATAATTTTGAGTCAAAAAATATATAATATTTTTAATAAAAATTAAAAATAATTATGGTAGAGTGTCTAAGGAGAGTCGATATCAACACGCATCAAATATGAACACGCTATCCTAGTTGAAATGTCCATGCAACAAAGGCTGGGTTGGGAGGGAGGAGGAATCTTACAATTGAATGGCCAACAAGTTCCATTTGAGAATTGATATCAGGATGCTGCTCCTTTTGCCCATTAGTTCCATTTAGTCCTGAAAATGCACAACCATCACCAGTATTTTGAGTTACAAACTACACAATGTGTGTGTGTGTGTGTTTGTGTGATATGTCCCTGTTGGTCTGCAGGCATGTGTGCACACACAGAAATAAATTTTGAAAAATGAATTTACAGTTACTGGTTATGCATATTTTCAAACAAAAACAACTCCACTCGCACTTCCAAAAACAAAATAACACCGATGCACATTTCGAATACAATGAGTCAATGGTGAATCTATATCAGATTGCTGACAAATAATAAAGCCACATGGCATATTTAGTCCACATAAACTAAAATTTCGCCTTTTTGATAGGTTACCATACAATAAAGATGCAGCATTGCACGCCGAACTCCTAAGACATCAAAAAGTATCCTGATCTATCTTTCCATCTTATGACCTAAAACCACAAGGATTATTTTCACTGGCATGGAGAACAAGTGACAAAGGCAGTTCACGGTTAACAACTAAGTAGAAGTTCAAAATACTGCTGACAATTCAATTTTGTTTTGCCAGAAAGACAACAAAGAAGTCAATTAGCATTGAAATACAAGGAGTCTCATCAGAAAAAATGACATTATTAAACAATTGAAAGGGAAATATGCACCCATTTATTAAATTTATTTTCTTCACAAAATATTGAGCTTTCGAACAATTTGGCCAAGAATGCCAACATTCTGGTAGGGCCAAAAGAAATGTAGCAAATACATCCTGATTCAACTTTCCCTTTTACTGACAGTACATCTTCACCACAATCAGATTAGACAGAAAGATTTCACTGTTACCTTCTTTTGAGTTTATTCAATCAAAATAATATACTTTAAGCATTTACTAAGAAAACCTTATCACATTTTCCCTCAACTATGAGACAAAACAAGAAAAAATAGATGCAAATATTATGATCAGAAAAGGCACTTCTAATGAAGAATAAACGACTTTAAGAAATCCTAAATTTTCAACACAATATAAAGACACATATTTGTATGTTTAAATGAATGCGACCAGTGTGTGAAGACCATGTACCGCATTAAATAGTTTCCTGAAAAAAACCTTCTAGTGAAAGAAGACCCACTGGGCATAAGAGACAGAGAGCCAATGAGAGAACCAAAAATGGGTCTTTCATGTATAAACCTGCATAATCTGATATCAGAAAATATTTCTCAAACAGACCCAAACTGTATGCTGACATATTCGTCCATTGGTCAAATCATATATGTGGTATTTAAATAATTGTACAAATTCTGTATGCCATTTTACTTGCTATAATTGTCATCTCCACAGATCAATTTTCACAATCACAAAGTTGTTAAATTCATCTATTATCCACAATCCCCACTGAATCTCTGATCTTTCTACTCAAGCATTTAAAAGCAAATAAGTTTGAGATAAACTAGGAAAGCTATGTAACATAAAGATTTAACCCTGCCTTCATAGTTCTAGCCTCAGCTCCAAGCATTAGCTTGTTCAGTATGGAACAAGTGACTCTATAATACATCTAGACCCAAGATAAATGAGAACAGGTCAGAATAGGCTATCAGCTTTTCAATATTATGGTTCTCTATTTTTCTTCTCGTATTTGAGGGAAATATCAATTCAAATTATATATCACAGAATAGAAGGGAGAAGGTATAATCTATATTAAAAGGCCATATGGTTGGGCTAATAGGACATAAAAAACTTCCTTAAACCTTTTCCCTTCCTAGTTAAAAAATCTGAGTGTCACAACTTGAGGAAGTAATAAAATAGGCAAAGCACTGTGATTCCCATGGTCCCTTGCAACACTCATTGTTCTTTCCTAATGTAAGGAGACTCAACCACTTTTCCCAAAAGCTACAGTTGATGGGAGAGGCTCAATCAAACCCTAAATCACCTATGATCAGACCCAAGCTCCAAGCACTATTTGTTTGGAAACCAACCCCCCTTGTACAGTAGGCCCACCCCCATATTCAGTGATACTCGGCATTATTTCCCCTCCTTGGAGAATTGAACACTCTACCTTCAACTTTGCTACCAACTAATGTAGGAAAATACCACTCTTCCCAAAAGCTGTAGCTGATAAGAGAGATGCAATAAAATCGTATATCACCTAAGATTAGATTCAGACTAGAGAATATACCCCAAGCACTATTCATTCGGGGGCAAAACCACTTACACAATAGGCCCACCCCATGTTCAGTGATGCTCGGCATCAATTCCCGCTCACCCCCTCATGCCTCAAACTAAATAAAACTAAATATGTATCAAACAAACATCATAATTGATATAATTGGCATAATGACGAAATCAGTAAATTGCAGTTGACTGAATCATGCTTGGTCTCTTCTAAAAGCAAATAGTTTCAATAAACTATTGAATTATGAAAGCTAAAGGGCATAAACTATGCTGATATTATCATAATGCTAAGGGTAGCTAAAGACCTAAACTTGGGTATTTCATCAGTGTGTGTGACTTGATGAGATCTTCCTAAATACAGAAATATATTTTCAGCTCAAAATTTGCTGATATTGTCATAATGCTAAGGGTAGCTAAAGACCTAAACTTGGGTATTTCATCAGTGTGTGTGACTTGATGAGATCTTCCTAAATACAGAAATATATTTTCAGCTCAAAATTTGCTTATCTCAACCACCTCTGCCTTCCCCCCTCCCCCCAAACAATAACCTCCCCTCAAATTTGACTGTTATACAGACTATCAGATAAAATGGAAAAGCAAAACTATCAATCGATAACTTTTAGTACTCCAAGGGTGGCATTTTTACTATAAACGGTTTGTCGGGGAATAGGTGTTACAATAGATAATCTCTGAACAATGGATTTTTATATTACTAAGTGATGCTATATGTGTAGGAAAAATAGGGAGACGATTGACCACATGTTATATTAACGATAGATAGTCTCTAAACAAGGGATTTTTATGTTACAGAGTGGTGCTATATGTGTAAGAAGGATGGGAAGACGATTGACCTCTTGTTCTTTCATTGTGATGCTGCTTGTCTACTGTGAAACAATATTTTGGCTTCTCAACACATTGATTAGGTGTTGCCGAGGCATATAGAAGACATGCTAAAGGTATGGAGGAGAAATTTTTGAAACAAGGATAGCAAACTTGTATAGAACATTGTTCCGAGTTGCATCGTATGGTGTGTGTGAAGAGCAAGAAATAGCCATTGTTTTGATTATCAAACATGGACAACAGAGCAAATTAGATAATTGTTTTACTTCACATTATATAATTCGTTTAATGCTGAGACTACTAAGCATATAGATGGCTGCCCAATTTCACATTGTTCCTTTCTGATTTAAATTAATAATACACTAACTGTGTATTATCCATTGATTAATAAAATATTTGATTACCTTTCAAAAAAGAAAATTGATAACTTTTCATATTGTACGTAATGTGGATCTTGATCCTTTATTCATGGAAAATAAATCATCCTACTCCAGCATTTACGTGTGACAATTTTTAGATCATATCATAAGATGATCGTGACGAATTTTCGGAAGTGAAACTAAACTGCTACAATTTTTCCATGAAAAACCTTTTGCATTTGCAAGAGAAAAACATTGATCACTTAGAAGTTTTTCAATGTGATCTCAGCTGAGCGAACCTTGCTTCATTTTCAGATCTTAAAATGTGACCTTTTCTTAAAATACATACATTTTTTTGGATAATATTCATCACTGCCATAGGTTTGCTTTCCATAAACAAAACAATCCTCATTTTAACATTAAAAGGAGTAAATATGTAATTTTGTATTAAGTGGTTCAGAGGATTAAAGTTCTAGAAGTTGAATTTCACATTTGAATCTAAATCAGAAAAATCATCTTTGATATTTCCTAGTTCCATTCTACCTTCTTCGTTGCAGTTTGAGCAGTACATCATTAAGCAGTCCCACATTTGGGTTGATAAAGAGATCGTAAGACCAGGATTTATTATTCTGCAGGAGCTAATGCAAACTGAGTTGTTTGTAATAGACTTTGAAGTCCAATAAATCAAATACCAAAAGTTTTCCACCAAGTTCTGTACCATTGTCCATTAACATAATCTTGGAACTTCAGATATTAAATTTAGGGAGTTCAAAATGTGGTTTCAGTTTACCTCGTAAGCTCGTATATTCGTCTCTAACAAGCTTTAGTGGGGGAGATAAATAGTTGACCTAATACCCTAAATTTAATTGTTACCACAAAATCAAAATGAAACTGGAAAAATCAAATGCTGAATTATTTCTGTTTATCCAATATGAAAAGACAGGGAATATTTATGTTGTTCTTTGACAAGTGAAGAGATCCATATGCAACTACAAACAACTTCAAGATGACAATGTTTGACGGTCATGGATTAGTTAAGCACATATTTCGTACTTTCACCATCTAACTATATATTTCAGACTAAGGTCCTAAAATAGGTGAGACGATCAAATGTGATTATGTGCGAGAAATGGCGATGCTGGAATTTCCCACTGTGTCAAATTACAAGACAAAAGCAAAACACTGTTTATGAAGTATAAATCTAAATTATACACTCGAGAAGAACAAGTAACTGTCAAAAAGGAGAAGAGTCTTGACTTGGAGAGTTTTGGAGAGTTGTAAAATCATTAAAATATCTAAATTTCTCTTGGCACCTAAGGTTATATGATAAATCAACTAGCGCGACATAAGGTAAGGTGAAGCATAGAAAAGTTAACTACCAGATTGCGAAGCCACATTGGTTTCATTTCCTTTAGAGGCAACATCACCATTGGCTTGTTCCCCTGAAGGAGGCATGCTACTGTTTCCAAAAACCCGCCACCAAGGCTGAATGTAGGTTGTTGACGATGAGATGTTGCATACTGCTGTTTCTAGATGCCGGTCATCATTTTTAGCTAGAGTAGGCATTATCATTGACTCTCTCCCAAATATTTAGTAACCTTCAATCTGACTATACAACCAATTACCAAAACAATATCTTTTAGCAACCAAAGTATTAAAAAGGTACAACGAATTAAAACGAAATAAGACAGATCTATCTCCCAAATATTTAATAACCTAAATCACCAATCTGACAGCACAATCAATTACCAAAACAATCTCTTTTAGCAACCAAAGTATTAAAAAGGAACAACGAAATAAGACAGAGCTAAGTATAAAGGATTAACACAAGAAGTTCACATTGTCTTGCACAAACTGGAGAGCAGTGTATAAGAAAAATCAAACACTAATAAAATTAGTCAAAGCTGCTACATCTATAGCTGGTAGGTTGGCCATCTATATCAATTTGATTACTCAATACAAGTCAAAAAATAAAAATAAAAATAAAAATAAAAAATGCTTGAAGTATTAGAAGCAACAAATTTATTACATAAATGAAAGACTACCAGTTTTTCGCCCATCTTAATACCAGAGAGTAGAATTCTGTAAAATAGTCCAAATCGATTTGTAAAAGCAAAACAAAACCACTGCCATTCAACTGAGAATAGACTACGAAAATTCAATAATTACCAAAAGATTTTTCAACCAAGCTTAGGTCACAATTAGAAACCTAACAAAGAGATGAATTCACTAAATTCTTAACAAGTTCATCCACTTTTTTTTATCGAAATCTTTAGTCATGCATGTTTGGCTAAGCTAAAAATTTACTTGCAAGTAAAACGCAGAGCCATTTTACTCACTTGAAAAACGAAAGGCCATAATAAAACAGCAAAAAGTAGCAATCTTTATTGGGAACTTTTAACTAGATTTTAACTAAGATTCCCAATTCTCGGAAACCCTTATCGGGATATAGTGTAAAAACATAAATTCTTACCATTTATGTTTTACTGTGCAGAGAAAAGTTCTGACTGAAATTGAAAGCTCTTAGAATTCCATTTAAGTATTTGCAGAGCCCAAAATCAACAATCTATGCAGGTATTTGATGTAGGAGTGTACACCTGCCAGTGTCTCTATATATAGAGAGAGAAAAAGTGAATATTAACTTATAATTATCTTAAAAATTCCTCTGTGCAATGCTATTTAGCTTAAGTGAGTTACAACATTAGTCAAGATGACTTTAACATAACATTAAATAATTTAGCATATTATCTAGTATCATCTAAATTAGAGTTATAGCCCTAGTGACACAAGATAGCCCCCGTTTGCTCGATTAAATTTCATTTCATATTTTTCTCTCCGATTTTTAATCACATAATCTTTCATAAATTAATATTACACGTAAATTAAAAAAATATCTTTTTCAACCACATATTTTTTAGAAAAATAGTATTCCAACCATTTTCATTTCAAAAAATGGGAGCCAAGTGGGGGCATAACATTATTCATTTTCTTTAGTTCTATAACAATCCCATCATAGCAACAATAAGGCCTCGTTTGCTACACATTAATGTAAAAATGAGAATGAAAAATGTAGTCATTACGGGTCTCACATAAGAGATAGAAAGTCAAATATGGTGGTTTGATGTGATGGATAACAGTCATATTTTTCATTTTAATGAGCAAATAATGAGAAACAAACAGGGGCTAAGTCTGACAATTTTTTGAAAATGTGTGAGGTGGTACTCTTTTTACACTAGATTTCAACAATACTTAAAATAAGAATAATGTTATTCATACACATTATATTTTATTATTTGATACATAAGGCAGTAAAAAAACTATTATATTAATGTGTCAAATATGAATCAAATCTGTCATATGTATGCCATATAAAACGACTGACAGTAATTTTCGCTATGAATAGCATTACTCTTAAAATAATCCATGGCATAAATTTTTACAACTGTCAACTTTAATATATACAAAGAATGTACAAATTACATTTTTCATGGTTTAATTCATATCCACTCCAAACGTCGCTCTATCTGTATCGTTTAAGGGAGAAAGTTGGGATTGATTAATTAAGAAAATTTAAATCATTTTGTGATGTGATATGTTTAGAATACCTTCCATTTTTCTACATGTTTTGTTATAAAAAATACTTTTTCTAATTACAAAATATTATAACATGGGGAGTCTTTAACACCTTGTAATGGACGAAATTAATAATTAAAGTATGATAGAAATTATTGAGCCCCAGTTTGGTATTACTAAAAATCAGAATTTTAGTAGATTTTCACAAAAATTGATAAAATGTTTAATTAAAAAACTGATAACAATTGGGAGTTCCTTAATTAAAATTAATTGTTGATTTTAACTTAAATTTTTATTAACTTTTTTAACTAAACAAAACAGGGTTAAGTATCGTTTATAATAGCAAGTTTTGCTTATATTTTGACTTCTACAACGGAATTCCTTTATTTTGTATAAGCAAAAGTGCAAGACCAAACACGTTAATAAGAGGTAATCAATCAATGATGTCAATCGTTAATGAATGGCAAGTGAATGTAAGTGACAATTATCGATCAAGCTGAAAATATCATGAATTTTTTATGTACATTTATTTTTTGAAAACGTCAATGTGTTACAGATGATGATTGTCGAAAATTGAAGGTGAGTAACACTAACCAAAAGTCAAGTTAAAGAAATTGAAAAATAATATGATTTTTTTACAATACAATACATTATTTTTTTTGTAGAGAATCGACAAGTGATTAACAGTTATTCAGTGCACTCATCTTTTGAATGTTAATAATACACTATTTATTGTATCAAGTCGAAAATTGAAGGTGAGTAACACTAACCAAAAGTCAAGTTAAAGAAATTGAAAAATAATATGATTTTTTTACAATACAATACATTATTTTTTTGTAGAGAATCGACAAGTGATTAACAGTTATTCAGTGCACTCATCTTTTGAATGTTAATAATACACTATTTATTGTATCAGAGAATGTACAAATTACATTTTTCATGGTTTAATTCATATCCACTCCAAACGTCGCTCTATCTGTATCGTTTAAGGGAGAAAGTTGGGATTGATTAATTAAGAAAATTTAAATCATTTTGTGATGTGATATGTTTAGAATACCTTCCATTTTTCTACATGTTTTGTTATAAAAAATACTTTTTCTAATTACAAAATATTATAACATGGGGAGTCTTTAACACCTTGTAATGGACGAAATTAATAATTAAAGTATGATAGAAATTATTGAGCCCCAGTTTGGTATTACTAAAAATCAGAATTTTAGTAGATTTTCACAAAAATTGATAAAATGTTTAATTAAAAAACTGATAACAATTGGGAGTTCCTTAATTAAAATTAATTGTTGATTTTAACTTAAATTTTTATTAACTTTTTTAACTAAACAAAACAGGGTTAAGTATCGTTTATAATAGCAAGTTTTGCTTATATTTTGACTTCTACAACGGAATTCCTTTATTTTGTATAAGCAAAAGTGCAAGACCAAACACGTTAATAAGAGGTAATCAATCAATGATGTCAATCGTTAATGAATGGCAAGTGAATGTAAGTGACAATTATCGATCAAGCTGAAAATATCATGAATTTTTTATGTACATTTATTTTTTGAAAACGTCAATGTGTTACAGATGATGATTGTCGAAAATTGAAGGTGAGTAACACTAACCAAAAGTCAAGTTAAAGAAATTGAAAAATAATATGATTTTTTTACAATACAATACATTATTTTTTTTGTAGAGAATCGACAAGTGATTAACAGTTATTCAGTGCACTCATCTTTTGAATGTTAATAATACACTATTTATTGTATCAATTTCACGTATTACATTAAATTAAATCGTATAGAAATAATAAAAATGGTGTCCAAAATGACCTTACCAAACATGGCACGGAGATTAAATTATTGATTTTGTCATTAACCATGGTTAATTATGCTTAATTCCGACCTTTGTACCCTAAATGACAGCAATGGGCAAAATAAACTAATGAAAAAAGTTAAACCACTACAATTTAAATTCATTAGTTAACCTTATTCCATGGCCGACCAATTCAAATTAAACTCTAGTGCAGGTCTGCCTAGTAACATTTTTTTTTGGTTTTGACAATTTAATCATTAATTAAATTGAATGGATAAAAAGTAAGTTCCAAATTCTTGGGTTTTTTTTTTTTTTTTATCAAAATACAATAGGCTAACAAGTCGTATAAATGGCCCTGTCCCTGTCCAATCACAAAGGATAATGTTTTTTAGATTCACGAGTGCTTAGCATCAATCTGTGTATCAAAAGAATTACTGTCACATAAACTTGTATCAAATATTAATGGAGCGAAATAACATTACTCAGTTACAAAATACAAACGTAACTTTAAGGAGTCAAAAGTGATTTACTATGTCGATTTTTCTTCTTCTTCTCAAATTATAAATGAAACAAACATCTACTATCGTCACAATCATTGGACGATAGAGTGACTAGAGATTAGTTAACCTTATTCCATGGCCGACCAATTCAAATTAAACTCTAGTGCAGGTCTGCCTAGTAACATTTTTTTTTGGTTTTGATAATTTAATCATTAATTAACTTGAATGGATAAAAAGTAAGTTCCAAATTGTTGATTTTTTTTTTATCAAAATACAATAGGCTAACAAGTCGTATAAATGACCCTGTCCCTGTCCAATCACAAAGGATAATGTTATTTAGATTCACGAGTGCTTAGCATCAATCCGTGTATCAATAGAATTACTGTCACATAGATTTGTGTCAAATATTAATGAAATTGAATAGCATTACTCAGTTACAAAATACAAATTTAACTTTAAGAAGTCAAAAGTGATTTACTATGTCGATTTTTCTTCTTCTTCACAAATTATAAATAAAACAAACATCCATTATCGTCACAATCATTGGACGAAAGAGTGACTAGAGATTTAACCTTGACGATCACGTTATATATTTTATTTAGAAGGAAAAAAATGAAAGAATAATAGTAATATGTTACTGTTATACGTGAAACATAAATATATATATATATATATATAGCCATACATTTATGGTGAATGGTCTCTTATATCTTAAGTTGATATCGTCGGAGATTAGGAGATGAAAGTCTGTCTTTGATATTTTTTTAATTAATTGTGTTGCACGAAAATTGCTGATAAAATCATTTTGGAATATATGTTGCTTATGACGTACATGTAGGAACTCGTTTTCCATGTCATGACTTGTTGCTGAATTGTTCCTATTTTACGGTCACGTGTCAAATTGTAAATTTTCAACAAGATTGTTCACTAGGATGTACTAGTGTCATAGGAAACTTGTATGGTTTAGTGCTATTTCAATGTGGCACGAATAAATATTCCACCAATTTACTAAGGGTCCGTTTAATTGTAAAGATGAAATTTGAGTATAAAGAAAACGAATTTCAAAAAATTGAATTGCCTAGAAATTGTTTTACTGAGAATTGTCAATTATTTTGTTTGATTGGTATAATTTTTCATGTAAATGTTGAAATAAAAGTATTTTTGTTGTTCATCTGGTTTTATTTTACATAAAAATTGTCAATTAAAGGGATAGAATTTACTGGTATTGAAGATAGAATTTGTTTCCATTGCAAAAAAATAAAAACAAAAGAAGCCAAGAAAATTATCTATCTTTTGGTGTTTATTTGACTTTGTTTTACATGAAAATTATCAATTAAAGGAAAATATTTTTTTTACAATTAGGGATAGAATTTGTCAGCGTAGCCTAGAAAACCAATTCCCACTTGGTTTTTCTTGAAATCCAAGAAAATGTCCATGTGGTAAGAAAACTAATTGTCTGAAAAAAATATATATTATCAAACAGTCAAAAAGTAGAAGTTAAAATTTAAATTCCATTTTTCACGGAAAATATCGACCAATCAAACATGACGTAAACCTTAATCCATAGCCGACCAATTCAAATTATTCCCTTTGTGCAAGCCTGCCTAGTAACTTTTCTTGGTTTTAACAATTTGATTATTACTTGAATGGATAAAAAGTGAAGACCAAAATCTTGCTTTTTTCTGTCAAGTTGAAGTATAATAGGCTAAAAAATCCTTGTCCAAATTTAAAATAAAAAAGAGCGATACAAATTTACCTCTTAATTACT